AACTAGATGATCTTTAAGGTTACTTACAAAACAAACCTTTCCATGATTCTGTTATAATTATTCTATCACCTTTAAAAAAATAATCCTATTTCATCCTGTCTGATTTTTTAAATACCAGTGCTGAATAGGAATTTCTCTTCCAAATGTCTCTCTGTTCTTCCTCTGTAGCTCTGGCTTTGCTCTCTCTGCAATTGCTGCTGCCTTCAGAATGGAGCAATGTCCCACCCACACCTGGTGTGGTCTTGACCTGCCAGCAACTACTTGTGTATGCATCATTTTTTTTAGAAATCAGGTATAGCACCTTTAATACCTTCTGTGTAATGCCTGTCTCTTAACAGGAGCAGAATTGTATTCATCATAGTTCAGATTTGTCATGCTTGTGAAGAAAAGCAGTAGTAAGAGATTAAGTGTCACAGAATAGGTATAGTAGCCGTCGAAATCAAGACACCATGGAGGAGAGAAGTTGTGACCAAACAGGCAAACTCTGTCCTGTGTCATCTGGTAATTCTACCATCTGGTCATACCTACCAATGACTGCAGGAATTGGAAGAGTGTCTCATATAGAAGAAGGGAAAACCTTCTTACATCTGTGTTTTCCTGTCTCCCAGTGGGCTGCCCTGGTGGGCTGCAGGTTTGATTTTTTACTTGGAATCTGCTTAAGTGAATGTTGTTATTTTAAAAATCTTTCCTGAATCTTTGTGGTGAAATATATTGTAGATGCTTTGTTATCATTTCTTGGATGATTATTCTTAAATAATATTAAATATTGATTTTTTTTCATGAAAAATGAGCAAGCTACTCTGGTTACCAAATGTTCAGATTGGGTACATGCAACCATCACTCTGGTATTTCTGAAGTACTGGCCTCTTTCTGCTTCCATTGAAATCATTTAATTAGCACTTAAGAAGTCTTTTCCTCAAATATTCAGCTGATATAGTATAGGCTGATTTTTAAATTCATTTTTTGGTTTGTCTTGCGCTTTTCACAGCAGACAGCGTCATTAACATAAGTTAGGGCTTATGTTGTTCAGTGAGTGGTCCTGACTTGTTTTTGCCCCTTAGTCAATTATCTCTTCCTTAAAATATTTGCATCTGTGATGTACATCTTACTTTCTCTGTTCTATTATCCTGTATCATTGTTTTGTAGAAACGAGTCTGCAAGTACTGCTGTACAAGTTGCAGTCACACTTGTCTTAAGGGCAAGGTTGTTTTTCTTGCAGCCTTTTCTAGTTGTGAGGACCACAGTATAATGATAGAAATATGCTGGAAGAGTGTCAGAAACTTAATTATAAAGGACTGTGAGTAGTTTTTGGGGTTTTTTTTGAGTTTTGTGTCAACTACAAAACAAGAGCAGTCTAGAACATGATCAAAATATGTTTCTAAACACTGGGACAGAAAACTAAACTGAAGTCTAGCATTGGGAAATCATATGTGGATAACTGTAGTTATAAGGGGTTTTCTCTGCTTAATTAAAGGCACTCCTCTGCAGAAATAAGAAAGCAATTTACCCTCCAACCAGGCTTTGCACAGTTCTGTCAACGAAGCTTAAGTACCCCTGGCTTTTCTGCTCTTCATCTGGTAAGTTGTAGGTTTATCTTCTTTACATGGGTTTGGCATCTACATTGCTTAATGTTTGTAGGGTACATTAGGTTATCTTCTGAAGCTGAGAAAGTTACACATTTGAAAGAACCGAGAATGTTCCCACTGACCGGTTTTTCAGTGCTGTAGATAATCATGGTAAGTGAGAAATGCCAGAGTACACCCTGACTGACACAGATGTAACTGAGTCAACCGTTATGTGTCTCCAAGTCACCTTCAGCCTTCCATGTGCAAGCTCCACCTTAAGAATTCAGACTATATGACACTGCCCTTATGACAAAGGGAAAAATTGCCTTTCAGGGGGATGGGAATTCTGCAAACATACTACGCCATAAATAAAAACGGTTTTTATACTCTCCTTCTTCCCGCCCTTTTAATTATCTTTTGACTTTTGTGAGAACCAGTAAGTAGGTGCAGGAATAGTCTTTTGTGCACCAGTGATTGTGAAAAACATAAAGCACTAGACGTATGTAGGAAGCATTTACTGTCTGTGTGTCAGGGCCTCCCACCACTACTCACTTCCTTAATCTGAAATGCTGTAGCGTTTTGACTTGTTCCTTGCGGTTATTCAGCATGAGGACGCCAGGTCCTCTTCTACAGGCAGACAACTGCTTTTGCTCTTCAGAAACTTGATAACATTTCATTTCCTGGGTATTAACGCTGTAGCTGCCATTTTGTGTGCTGTCACAATCTACATGCCTCTAATCCATCATCCTTAAAAAGGTATGTTTGCAGTAATGATTTGTGGCATTTTCTGTAGAGTAATTGTTTTGCACACTTGTATGAGGTATGAAGAGGAGTGTTGGCTTCTCAGTTGAAGCAGTATTTGTTTCCTTTGATAATTTGCACCAGTTGTTAGAGGACAATTATCCTCCATCTGCTTTTGCCTTTTTCACCATTTTTACATTTGTATTTAATTTGCGATAGTCAAAAGCACACATTTATGGTGATTGAAGATGATTATTAACACTTCAACTAGAAAAAGTTAGAAAACATAATGAAATGCAATGGATTTGACTTGTCAGAATGGAAAAGCGTGATTTCTGAAAGGAAGTACAATGTTTAATCAAAAATTAGATTGCATAAGCAAAAATATTTTGCATGCAAAACATTACATCTTCAGCAACTGAAACGATGGTTTTGTATACTTTAAACTGTACTTTTTCTTTAACCTTTTGTGAATTAATTTTTTTTTTAGATCTTCATATATATATGTATATACTAGCAGGTAGTGTTGTACGCACTGGCAATAGAGTAGGTGAACTTCAAGGAAATTGTGCTGACAATTAATAAAAAATTGCTGATAAAGATTACTATTTACCCATAACCATTGATCCAGTGTGCTCAGCACTACACTAGGTACAAACTAGAGACAGTGCTTACCATAAAGATTTATTACCAGCACAGTGTATTTCTTCAGTTGGCTGCTTCACGATCTGCTGGACTTAATGTCAGGTGCTCCCTTTGGATAAAATGAACAAAGAAGGAGACCAATTTTCCCAAAAGTTTTCAGAGAGTTCAATCAATCCCTTAAATGTGTAGGCAGAGGGCTGAGCTCAGAGACTTTATTTACGCAGAAACCAATACAGTTTCCTTATAAAAGGGGAACCTGGGGAGGGGAGGGTTGTTGGATATGTTCAGAGGTCTGTTCTGTATCGTTTGCAGTAGTATTTACTACATCTGCTTTTTTTTTTTTTCCCAAAAGTTTAAATGGATTTGCTTCTTCTAGATGTTTTTAGCATATTTCTTCTGAATATACTTCACTTTCTGCAAGATGTTTCTGGATTTTTATTAGCTGAATAACTTGTATTTCCAGAACACTAAAAAGGCTCCAAAGCTCGTATTTACCACTGTTCCATTTTAACTTCTCTTCCCATCTACAGACACTGATGTGTCATATTATGTGTGAGCCATTTTAGTTCAGAGTTACCCAGGGCTTTGCCAGTGTTGAGCACAACTCTGTGTTTCATAATTTGTGGAATTCCTCCTTGTCCTATTGTGCTAAAATTCCCAATGCTGTGTATGTAACACTGTTATGTGCAGAGGTCGCTTCATGATCAGGTGAAAATCCTGTCAACTTCCATGAAAGCCTTGCACAAGTAGGAAATGAGTCAAGACTTCATTATTTTTGCCTGCAGATTTTATGTGGAGAGTAGAACACTGGAGTATAAAGAGGATAGCTACAGAATATGTTGGACCAGACAATAATTGCAGGAACATTTAATGTAAAGGCAGTGTTGATATCTGGGACACTGGTTGCCTTATTTTCCCCACACACCATCAACAGCACCACAGACGTACATTATCTGATCTATGTTTAGACTCCTTATTGCTGGCAGCTTCAGAAAACAGTTGTGTGGAGCGTATTTGGGTTAATCAGTGCAATGCAATCCTTGCTCTTTACAGTCAAGGATGATTTGATAGCTATTTTTTGCGAAAATTCCTTCACCTAGTTATTTCATTGTTATTGTTCTAATGCTCTAACTATTTTTCTGTGGTTTTACTATGCTGAGGTTTCCACAGCCTTTCTGGAAAGTCACAGAATATAAACTATAGGCTTTCTAAAGCTGTAGCTTTTAGATCTGTTTGTTACTTGTCAAGACAGTCAACAATATGAGATGCTGGTCTTTGTACTCAAGTGGACAGATGTTTTATTTTCTACACATATACAGGCTCTTTTTGTTGGCTCTACAGCAAGTAAAATACTTCTAGTATATGAAGTCACATTTATGTGTACGTGGAAAGTTTCTAGGTAACATATCAAAGAAGATTTTCTGCCTCGGTTTTTGAGATGAAGCAGATAAAAAGAGACAGCTTCATAGCATGTGTAAGTGTCACAGCTTGCACTTGTTGACCTTTGTTTTGGATTGGATGGTCTGTGTAAGAACGGTTACTTAAATATAATCAAATACAACTGTTCTCTATCAAGGTGCAATGCCACATGCTGTAGAAATGGTGGATATCTAAGTTTTACAATTACAACTTTAGTAGTTAACATGTAATCTTTTTTGTAGTTGTTGTATTGACCCTCGAAAAGTCCGATAAAATTAGAACTCTCATAAAATGCAAACAAGTAAATTTCAGAGATAGAAAATAACAGTTCATTCTGATATTGGGTAATTCTTGCTCTCCATTTTGTTTTAAGAAAAGCACACAGCATTTCTAATAGTATCTTTCAGGCACAGCACCTTACATGAAAGGCATCTTCATGATGGAAGCCACGGTACTTGTAGTTGGTACTTAGCTCTGTAAAACTTCCAAAGCTTACTGCTTCGGCCTTGTCATTGCTAGTGCCTTCCATCGCATTTGCTGTAGAGTTCTTTGGCAGCTCCCTGCCAGCTGGCCATTGCCTGTCACTGTCCTTTTGGTCACCTCCCCTCATCCTCCATTGTTGCTGCTTGCTTCTGGCTTTTTCGTAACTCTAATTAACACCATGGATGGGGGAAGAGGGACTGGGTGCACTTATGGGAATGCAGCAGAATACATCTGAGGACATCCAGGATGTACTTCAGTCAGCCCTACTTCTACTGGAGTGTATGAAAGCTCAACAGCGAAAATAGATGCAAATTTGGATTTAGCTGTAGTATCTACCATTTCTTCTTTTTTTAAAAAAAACCCAATTTTTCTCTTATTTACCTTCTTTTTTAGCTAAATGTTTTATTTAGCAACTTTTCCTTACATTAAATTCAGTGGCACTGTACCTGATTAAAAGTGTTTCCTATGTTAAAAAAAAAGGTACAATGGCAAGAAGTGAATAAATATGCCTGAATTACATTATTAAAAACCCTTTCTGTTGCTAAAATAAACAACACTTTTTTTTTTTGTTTCATTAGCCTTCCTTTTATGACGCAGTCGACCCAGTAGATTTCGAAGGCTTCCTAATGACACGGCTGAACAACTTGGACTCAGAACTAGCACAAGAACTTGGTGATTTTCCTGAAGATGATTTAGACATTGTCTTTACACCCAAGGAGTGTAGGACTTTGCAACCCTCTATGCCAGAAGATGGGTAAGGAAACTTTCTCTCTCTGAAATGCTTCAGGTTTAAAAATAGTTTTGAAGATGTCGATCCAGACACCTCACTCTGCCATCCGTCCATCCATCCATCCGTCCGTCTGTTATGCACTTGCTGAACTAAAGTTTGACATTTGAACTTTGCTATTGGTTCTGTTAGGCCTGTTTGCACGCTCAAAATTATGCAAGTGCTCACATGACTTCCTGAGCTAACTGGTAGCAGCAGAAGTGAGGTAGGCATAGACTACGAAGAAGAGGCAGGAAAAAGGGCAGGAGGGTAGCATGAAAGTAATTTTGCAGCTGTGATGCTAGAAGTGGAAGTTGATTCTGATTATGTAGTAAGCATAGGATTGATTTTTTTTTTCTTTTTTCTCCCCAGCTATGTGTTACATGACATTGATCAGATCCTAAGCATCTTTTTCTCAGTACCTTTCTTGCATAAATGGGAGAAAATAGTTCACAGGGGAAAGAAGCGTGTTAATTTCTAGTGTAGGAATCCCTTTTGATTCCAGGCTGATGCTAATGGGATAATTAGGAAGTTTTCCACTGTTTTCAACAGCTTTTAAATCAAAATAGGTAGTAGCATCTGTGATACTGGTGCTTGGCCATCCTGCAAATACTAAACTGGTTTGATAAACAGGCAAACTATGGGCAACAGAATTTTTCAGAATGAAATAAAGGTGTGCATTGGAGAGATTTCTGATGTGGTGTAGGATAGTCCAATGCATTGTGTACAAAACACTCTTCAAGGATTGCTTTGCTATAAATGGTAACTTCAGGGAGAACCCCAAGGGCCTATTGAGTTTCATGAGCAGCAGCAGCCAGATAAACATGAACTCAGCAACAGTTCAGCCCCAAAATGCTATGTCTGCAAAGACAGCTAACTGTGCAGTGTGTCAGGATGAGGAGAGAGGGGGCGGGGGGCTGGGTCCTTCCAGTATATTCTGGCAATGACCAACCTAGTCTACATTCTTTGCTGTGCTGAACGTGAATGCTGAAGGGACAAATAGGCTTAGCTTAAGGAGTCGTGGTTCACAGTGTAGACAATCATCCCTCTGTTACTGCAAAAGCTGTTACAGCCTGCTCTAATGTATCCCGTTCAACTGTGTAAAGTAGAGCCCTATAGAACAGCTGTATTTGTTCAGTGTTTTCTGCCCAGCATCCCAAAGTCAATGAGGCCAGCAGAAACAACAGTGTGTATGGTTTTTGTCAGCTGTGGACCTGCTGAGAACCATTCTCTCTAAGCAGGTTCTCAGCCTGCAAGGTCCTTCTTGGCCCAATGCATCTCTCAGGGAGTCCAGGAGAGTGAAGTGGGCAGAAGGAGGTGCCACGCTTGGTCACCTGAGAACTCTTTGAATCATACAGTTCCTAGGAGGTTTTTGTAACATCTGCACAAAAGGTGATTTTCACTTGAAGTCATTCGCAGAAAATGTTTCAATCTTTATCATAAATTCTTGTTTTCCTGTGGATTGAGGAAAGAGGGTGGATGTGGGAAACAGTGAATCTTTTGATGCTTGAAGTTCACATTTAATTAAATGATGCTCAAAATATTAAAAAAAATCCAGCTTTGAAATTGGATTTATCAGATAAGAGGACCATTTCTGCCCAATACACACATATTTCCAAGGTTACTTACCAGCATGCCTGCTATTTCAAACAGCAATTATCTGTTTGTTTTTCCAGTAGGAGAACACGTAGACTCACACTGTACCATTAGTTTTTGACCTGATTTTCGTGATAGTGACATTAAGGGTTTTGTAACGAGTCTGTGACAAAGCTCAAATAGTTAGTAACAACAAATACTGACTTCAGCTTATAATATTCCAGTTCCAATCAGTATCCAGTCTATCAGGCAGCACTGACTGATTAAGTAAAATAAGTGCCCTATGTTAAAGAGCACTTATTTAAAAATCATAAAATTAAGTTATAACATATTCTCGAAACTTAAAGGTTTCTTACACTATCTGCATATAAGCTTTGGGTCTCTTTTTAGAATTTTCTCCATTTCTCTGTGAAAGAGAAAATTATGCCAGAAACGTGCAAGAGACAATGTATTTGCAGGAGTCCAGGAGCTGAGGACTCTGGAAAAACACATCTGTATGTTGAGACATGTTACCAAGTTCTGAAAATCAGAGAGATGGGTACCTGGTATACTTTATTTATTTTGCAGTATTCTGTAGCAACATCAGTCTTAAATTCATGAAACACATAGTGTGTCAAAGTCTTACCTCTGTTAAGTCTATGTTTGTTAGTTTATAAACACAGCAACAAAAAACTTGATCAGGGAATCATGCAATACATGTAATTCTTTAAACCTCAAACGATAGTTTAGCAGTAAAACAAATATACAGGAGAGGACTAATATAGAGGCCTTCATCTGAATAGCATGTTTAAATAAGTATCTTTATCCGTAAGCTATAACCTAGGTACAGAAATATTTACAATATGTTGTTTTTTCCCCAGGGTTGAACTGGACTCACATGTCAGAGACTGTGTTCAGACATATATCCGGGAGTGGCTGATTGTGAATCGAAAGTAAGCTACATAAAAGTTAATAAAATAGAAAATACCTTGCATCTTATTTGACAGAGATGTATGCTCTTACAGGTAGTCCCAAAGAACGATGATTTGAATCAGTGACTGAAGACAAGAACTGACTTTTCAGTAGTTTATTTAATTATATTGTTTTGTTTGAGACAGTGGGCTGTAGGTAAATACTGTTACTTCTTAATTATTCAGGCACTCTGGGAACTGATCAGGAAGAAATTTACATCAATTTTCTGTAATGATTATCTGTCTAAATCAAATCTGTCTACATTCATTGTGCTTCCTATTATTCTTGGGAGGCAGCCCAGAAAGCCAACCATATCCTGGGCTGTATCCAGAGAAGTGTGGCCAGCAGGTCGAGGGAGGTGATTCTACCCCTCTGCTCTGCTCTTGTGAGACCCCACCTGGAGTGCTGCGTCCAGCTGTGGAACCCTCAACATCAGAAGGATATAGACCAGTTGGGGCGAGTCCAGAGGAGGCCACGGAGATGATCAGAGGGCTGGAGCACCTCTCCTATGGGGACAGGCTGAGAGAGTTGGGCTTGTTCAGCCTGGAGAAGAGAAGGCTCTGGGGAGACCTTATAGCATCTTCCAGTACCTGAAGGGGCTACAGTAAAGCTGGAGGGGGACATTTTCCAAGGGCCTGTAGTGACAGGACAAGGGGGGATGGGGGTAAATTTTGAAGGTGGGGAGGTTTAGATTGGGTATCAGGAAGAAGTTCTTCCTGGAGAGGGTGGTGAGGCACTGGCACAGGTTGCCCAGAGAAGCTGTGGATGCCCCATCCCTGGAAGTGTTCAAGGCCAGGCTGGATGAGGCTTTGAGCAACCTGGTCTAGTGGAAGGTGTCCCTGCCCATGGCAGGGGGGTTGGAACTAGGTGATTTTTAAGGTCTCTTCCAACCCAAACCATTCTATGATTCTATGATATACTTGGTAGGACATTAACTTCAGAGATCTGAAGCTTAGTTCTTGAATGCCAATGGTGGTTAAAATTTATGTGCTCGAAGTTTGTAAGAAAATTACAGATGAACTAATTATTTTCCAGTTTTATTCCTATGTTTTCTAGTTACATAATCCCTTCCTAATCTGATTGATCTCAATTTTAAAGTTGTCTGTTAGTCATAAATATTAGCAGCCATTACTTCTGTTGTTTTAATACTTCACTCATCTGGTAGTTGCAATAATTTTAGAGGTCCCAGCTTAAATGTATTAATGGCCAAATGTGTCATTTCTTCTTAGGCCAAAACTGGGTTTTCTCTCCTTAATTTTCATTAAATCTTTACCCTCTGTGCATATAGAAAGACAACAGTCATACTCTACCTCAGCTTTTAAATTGTTGGACTAAACAAGCCATGTTTTTTCAGTCTCTATTCATACTATAATAGCTCTACTTAATATTTATGGTGTGAACAGCTTATGTTCTGTCTCTACCCCTTATCCCCTACTTTTTTTCACCTCATATCTCATGCTGGAAGAATAATTTTTAGTTTTTAATGCCTGTGTAAGGTATAATTCAGTTTGAGTTTTGACAGTTTTCCTTTTGTGCCTTAATAACCAGATTTTTTTTTAAATATAGACCTGTTGGCAGTACAGACTTTTTCTAAAGCCTTTCAGGCTCTTTGCTTGCTACTTTTATATAGTTTTGTGATTATGTTTTGCAAATGATGTAGATTTCCCAAAGAACCACAGCTTCTAAACTTTTGGAATTTCTGATCAGACAGCAGGACATTTAGATCATCACTGGAAGCATAAACAAGAATTTCTACTTGTGGCTAGATTTGCAGATGCTACCAGAATATGCCTCTGCGCTGGAAATTATTTTTTTTAATGCAAGGTCAAGACTCTACGCACTGTACGATTGACACACTTGTATTGGGCAAGTGCACTTCCTGTTTTTAATACATTTGTTGCTGAAATAACCATTTTGTACTAAATTTGATTTGCGCTAAATTGCTATTTGATCACACTAAAAAGATAACAGGGATAAAGATTACACTTGTATGCTCTTCATTTTCCCCTCCATGCCCTGGAAATTCAACATGGTCTGGTTTCTAACAGTATCTGAAAACAAAATGCAGTGATAGTAGCAAAAAACCCAAGTATTAAGTGCTTTCCCACAAGTGATTGATTGTATCCATGGAGTTATTAGAGTAGCATCTGACTAAACTATTTTACATCAATAAGGGAGTTGTGCATTTGCAGTCGGTGTAATTCAACACCCAGAATCGGACCTGTAGCCATTGCAGGCGACTTCATTTCATTTCATTTTATTATTTCATTTCATGTCATGTCATTTCATGTATTAAAAGTGAGGAGAACTCTCAGTTAGCGCTTTCTGGGTCTGGGTGTCTGTCCCAGACTCTCAGGGTTGCACTGTGCCAGTGGAGCTTTCCTGATTCCCCATCACCCCCTCCTGTTCTTCAGAAAGAGGTTTTTGGAGCTCTGTTTTTCTGTGCCACTTCCTGTTCATCCCCTCCTGCACTCATGCCCCGTTCTTGAGAAGCAGTAATAGCAGCCGACAGTGGAGTGCTGGCACATTTGCCACCATTCTGTTGCACCCCTCCACTGGTCCTTGCTACTCTCTACTTTTTTGACCTGATGTATGTTAGCAGTCAGTGCATTAGGGGTTGACTCCTGGTGATCATAAAGAATTGCGTTGTGCAGCTTGTGCAATGATGGAGCAGCCGTTGAGGGTTATTACGAGACTTCCTCTTGAGTGCTGATGAAATTGATTCATTTCTCAGAACTGGTCCACAGTCAGTCACTAAAAATAAGTTAGTGGGTTTTGCAGGCTCTCCACCTGCACTGTTCAGAGCACAGGCGCCAAGCACACTGTAAAGAGCCAGCATGCAGTTTTGTGCACACACAAATAGCAAGCAGTAAAGTAGGTGAGGTGAAAAATAGAACACATATTTTTGCACTTACATGTGCTTGGAGAAATGTGAATGGAGCTGTAGAAATACACATGCATGAAAAGATTTCTTGTGTGTTTTACTGTCTATCTCATTCATTCAGGTAAGGCAAATTTGTATGCAGAAACTTTAATGAGAAGTTGAGTCTGAGGTAAACAATAGGAAGGGCCCTGTCACAGAGCTGGGCTTTGAATGCTGTGGCTTACAAAGCAAGCAAGTTGTTAAAAATCACAAGACAGCATAAAAGATGTTGCAGTGTTACTTATATAAACTAGTAGACCATTAGACTGTTATTGGGAGTCTCATGTTATGCTTGAACACCATTCTCAAAACAGATATGAGAGAAAGAAACAACATCAAGAGAGGAGTGAGAAAAGTAGTTGTAGAAAGCTTTCCATTGTTTTTAGGAAGACTGAGGAAAGCTGTGGTTGCAATCTGGGAGATAGCACAGGTGGCTGACATATGGTCTGGTAAGCTATGGGTGAGAAGACCTTGTGACTTTCATCCATTTGTGGATGTGAAGATTCAGAGCAGTAGAGCGGAGAAACTTCTGTGGGTGGCACAAGCAGAGGTTGTCCTCATGCACCAGGGTGGACAGGCATGTAGGAGGGGGTCTAGAGACAGCTGAGAGGCCTATGGGTTTTTGCCAAGGGCTAGATGGGAGGCTGGTTTCTGCCAGTTTCTCCATTCAGCTGTCCTTTGCTTCTTTTTTGCATCTCATTTTTCAAATGAAGCATGTGGCTGTTAAATTGACGTGTGTGCTAGAAACAGGGTTTTCTTCTTGGTGATTTTCAATGGCTACCATGCTTTAAACATAAATAAATAAATAAATTTTCCAGGAATACTTCAGGGAAAAGACATCTCTAGCATAGCTGGTACTTCACAGGGACAGTGTGATCTCAGTTAAATAAATGTCTCTATTAATCATTTGTTTGCCACTAGAGATGGTGATAAAATAACCAACAAACCCTTTTTTCAATGCTGAAATGTCTCAAAATAAATTCTTGCAGCATTTCTGTCTTTCATTCTGGATGATTAAGGCACGTCCAAGGAGAGCAGGAGTTGTCTCTTTTATGACTTCAGTTTTCATTTGCAGTGAATGGGTAAACCATTAAAATGCAAACAATTAAAATTAAAACACATTGAAGCATGTAATTCAGTTACTCCCAAAGTGTAATGAAAAGGTGTCTCCCTGATCAATAACTGCTTAATGTGGCATCTTTATGAAAGTACTCAGATGTTAGGAGTGTCATGGAAAGGTAAATAAACAAAGCAAGGATAGTGTAACTAAGGATGCTGATTACAAAAAGGCCATCACGTAAATACATACTAAAGTGGAAGAATTAGAGCTCTCAATGTGTCTAGTATTTTTTTTTCAGGGTACCTGCTGTTTTTTTCCAACTGTTCACTAAAATTTAACTAAAAATCGGTACCTTGCTGCAAAATTTTGTGAAGTTACCATCAGAAGGGGTTAAATTGTGCCATAAATAGCCTTCTTTAAAAACAGGCACTGTTTGAAATGTGTAGATTTGCATATGTGATTAACTTGGGATGCCAGCTAGGTCCAGGACATGCCTTGGACCAAATGGCATTTTGGACAAGAGCAGTAAGTAACTTGATGTATAAGTGCAGAAGCAAAGAGTCACCCAAGAGATAAGCAATCCTAAACCATATTCTTAAGGACGCTGAGGTGATCACTACATCTGATGAGGAGCTCAGAGACTTATTTTGTACCTAGGTCAGGATTTTCTGCTTTTCAGGCTGACAGTCCATGCAAAAGTGATGCCAACAAATTTTCTTCATTTTAAAACTGTTCTTAATGTACATGATAGAGTTGCAGTGATAAAACAATTAAACTTTGTGAAATGCCATGTTTTTGCACACGTGCTAAGCTCTGCTTTTGCACAAAAATGTTTCTAGTTACTTAATATTTTTTTTAATTTGTCTTTTCTATTTATTTGCCCGTGACCTCCTCATGCCATCCGGATTTGCTTGGGTTTCTTTGCAAAAGGAACCAAGGGAATTCAGATGCTTGTAGCCTGAGAAACAAGGGATCCCGAAAAGATTTTCACAAGACCCTTCAAAAACAAACATTTGAATCAGAAACTTCGGACTCTGGTGATGCAAACTTTCAGGTACCTTTTCTTCACTTGGGGAACAACAATCAAATACTGCAGCTTTCCTCAAAGGAAGCATCCTAGGATCTCTAATGGTGTCAAGAGGGGAGCCGTGCTTGCCATTAGGCCTTATGGCAGAGGTAGCCTTAAGGCCCTGTCTGCCAAACAAGCAAGAGACACTTCATGATGCCCTGGTTGCACCAAGCCATAGCTCACCATTTTGTTCTTGTCAAACAGGTTGGGCCCCGACATGTCCATGTGCTCCCTGAGGAGGCCTCAGGGACAACCCTCACCTCCTCCGACTTTGACCTGCGCAGCCTGCAGCCGGATCCCCGCCTGCAAAACCTTCTGCGGCTTGTCAGCGCTGAGGAGTTTGAGAGGCAGAACGAGGAAGCGAGACGCACCAACAGGCACGCTGAGCTCCTCGCCCTCTACCCCTCTGTGGATGAGGTGAGCTTGGAGGCAGCAAGCCTTGCCAAGGTGGCTCTCCTGGCATGTTTAAGGTTGAAGCTGTACCCTGGTCAAAAAACAGGGTTTGTGGCCTGCATATATATGTCTTCCTTGGATAACACAGCGAAGGCACATCCCTGTGGGCTCCTGCCAGCTATCTTGAACGTGCACTGAGGGGCTTGTACTTGGACTCCTGGTGTTGCCTGAGGCCTCAGTGCTGGTGATAACAGTTGTGTCAGGGTGTCACCTTTGGCTGTAATGCTTGCTTGGGGGACGAAAGTATAAGTATTCAGTGTAAATGCCAGACGGGGATCAGAAATGTATATATTCAGAAATATAAACACATCTTTCATCTCTAAAGAGGTGAAATGTGTTCTTAGTGGGAGAAAGTGCTCATCTGTAGTAGTGGCTCAGTTAACATCACATAAAGTTTTTATGTAAGTATGTAAATTTACAGGTGTTTTAATTGAGTCTGACTAGAATAACTGTTCAATCATAGGAAGATGCAGTGGAGATACGGCCAGTGCCAGATCGCCCAAAGGAACATCTGGGCAACAGGATTTTGGTGAAGCTGCAGACTCTGAAGTAAGTATCCTTCACAGGCCTTGCTCACCATTTCTCAATTCATACTAGTGTACTGCTGCCAGCCCTGCTACTCCACTGCAGGTGTCCTGTACAGCAAGTGTTTACATGCCTGCTTGTTCTTTCTTAGTGTGGCAGAGAACTATTGCTGTCCTTCATTACTGAAGTCTTTAATGTATCAGGGTGAAAAGGAGTTGGGAATGAGCCCAGATTATGTATTTCAAACAAACTAGGTTGGTCTCTCTACACACTGCTGGACTTGTTAAACAACAACAAAAAAAAAAAAAACAACAACAAAAAAGGTATGATCATTTTTGGGTAATATCTGAGACCAACTTTCTGACAACTTTAGAAAATATGTAATGTGCAGTTTACTTCCCTTCTTTTCCCCTTGAAATCATCTAATAAAATATTCTAATAAAAAAATCCTACAGGCTTTGAGGGAGCTGAGGTCTGGAACTAAATATTTCTCCTTACTTTCTAATGGAAATAGCATTCGAAATACAGCCCATTCACTTTTTAGTATACAGAGTCATTAGAGCACAGTATTAATCGGTGTCCTGTATGTCTTTCCTTAACAGGTTTGAGATAGAGATTGAACCTTTGTTTGCATGCATAGCTCTCTATGATATGAAAGAAAGAAAAAAGGTAAGTGTGCATGCAGTATTTTTGTTCAATTGGCTTGGGCTTTTATCTCTGGAGTAATAGTTTGGGAAAACTTACAAAACACATGCAGCTTTTTCACACACACAGTCTTATCCAGGATTCTTTTTTATTCAGTCAAAGTCACACGCTTGCAATTGTTTATTGTGTAGTTCTAGTTACTACTTCTGACTTATTTTAAAATAAAATTTGCGCATTTTTGCTTTGTAATACATTTTAATTCTTTTCTTTTCAAGATCTCAGAAAATTTTCATTTTGACCTCAACCCTGATTCATTAAGAGGATTCTTGCGTTCTCATACGCCCTCCATTGACTTGTCCACTCAGGCAAGATCAGCAGTATTTTCTGTCACTTACCCCTCATCGGATATATACCTAGTAATAAAGGTATGTTACAGGGCTACTTCAACACCGTTCTTCCTGTTCCCAGCTGTGCCTGTTTTCTGAGTTCGTGGAGCTGATGAACATGAGTTTTCTGTAGCTGAGATGATTTCTCACAATTTTTAATAGTATGTGTGCATGTGTCCACTGGTATATCTCACTCCCAAGCTAAGAAGTTACGCTAATACCCTGTGTTCTAGTTCTACTAAGTATTTAGAATTTCCTATCTCTGCCTAAGGGAAATTTAAGTTGGAGTGAAATAAGCCATTGTTTGCAATTTTAATTACATTCTGTGGAGGATTTTTGACTTTGCTTTAGTGCACTTCTTGTCATTTTGTTAATTTAATTCTGAAACTGAGCTAGCCTGAACCACTTCATTTGGAATGTGTTAGTTTTCCTGATTTCAGTGAAAACGCAGTAGTACCTGATTGACAGTGTTGTCACACATGTATTTTCTGCTTTCTAACAAAGCAGATGGAAAACTAGGAGAAGATTTAGTATTGGTTGCTCCATAAAGACGGTTTTAAGAATCCGTCTTAGAATGTGTAATGTATTACACATGTAGGCAGGCTCATATTGCTAGAGAAGCAACATATTATTCTTTAGGTGGTATTTTTCCTTTGTGAGTGCCTTATTTTACTGATTTTTGTAGATAGACAAAGTGCTTCAGCAAGGAGAAATCGGAGACTGTGCAGAACCCTATATGGTTCTTAAAGAAAGTGAGGCTGGCAAGGTAAGTAAATAACTGTAAAGAGTGTTTAGAGCAAAAAAATGCATGAACAGGGGAAAAAAAACAACCAACCAACCAACCAAACAAACAAAAACCAGAGAAAGAACAGACCCTTTGGAGTAAGTCTGAATCCAAAGAACATCAAGGACGAAGTCGGTTGGTACATCCATGGTGCAAGCAGTCTGGTACCCGTGATCAACAGGAAGAAGTCATGAGAAGGCAAGGTTCACTTTCATTACTGACCCCTTTGGAAATCAATATTGGCAAAGTCTTGAGTCATGAAGATTATAGGGGTGACAAAGGAGACGACAATGCAGTGTGGAGTTAGCAGGAATATTTGTACCTCAGAGACATGTTACTGATTTGGATGAGCAAACAACCTGTTGTAGTGTGTACGTGGCCAGTTCAATACTGTCTTCCACAGATAGACAAGAGCTCTATCCAAGGAATTCATGGTCATTTACCTCCTTGGAGCAGACTGGCAATGTTTGCTGGACTTCCACAAGTGTCTCACCTGTAAAATACTGGTTTCAGCAGAATAATGTTTCTGTCTCTGATGAAAAAAGGAGAACCTGCTAACATTTCATGGTCATTGTTAATGCTGGGTTTGAAGGTCACTGCAAAAAGATCTGCATTTGCCTTTTCTGTTATGAAAATTAACTCACTGGAAGAAATGAGAAGTGAGTGTGCAAAAGAGCTGTGATCCTAATGGTGATGTAGAAAGAAAACATGAGATATAAGAATGCAATTATTTACTGAACTCTAAATATGTAATTTCCATTTTTTAGCTATAGTAGCATTAAAATAACTGATTGTTTTTTAAACAGTCATTATTTTCTTTGTCTTAGACAAAAGAAAAGATTGAAAAACTGAAAGTCCAAGCTGAATCCTTTTGTCAACGGTTGGGGAAATACAGAATGCCATTTGCCTGGATTCCCATAAGCCTAACTAATTTCTTCAACATTTCAACACTTGAACGAGAAATACCTGAATTCGAAGGTGTAAATGGTAGTTGTCTAACTTCTCTAACTTAGTTCTAACTAATGCAAAATGATTCTTCAGTAGAACTGTTCACAGGAAACATTGTCATTCACCCTGGCATCGACAGTGAACACCAGATTCAAAGTCACATCTCAGACTTCCTTTTCAGTGCTACAAGCACTTAAAATTTAGTATGTTCATTGTTTCATCACTGCATATTTATTTTTATGTATGCTACATATTCTTCCATGTTTTAGACCCAGTTTTGGTCGAACACTGGCTTTGTAGAAAGAAAACTCCCTTTGCATATGGAGTTTGTTTGCAATACAGAGCAACCAAAATACATATCATCTTAGTTTCTAGAATATACAGAACCAGTGTGCTTTATAACCCATGAACTAATTGAATAACCTTGTACTCTGCAGCAGAAATAATGTTACTTCACCAAGTGTGTCCTGTCATTCAACTATTTCACATAGTCTGAAATAAATGTAGTGGAATGTTTTCGGTACTCTGTTCTCTAATATTTTTGGGAGGTTGTGGATTTCTGCTGTATTCTGATAGTCTTTGTAACACAAAGCAAGCTGATGTTTCATTTAACTTCCATTTGAAGGGAAAGGATCCACTAGTGACAAGAGGACAACACTGCTACAGGCAAGAAGACTTTCTGAGAGGAGTCTCAGCACAGAGGACAGCTGTCCGGTATCAAACTTTAAAACAGTCTCTCTGACACTCAGCACCTTCTTTAAACAGGTACTGGATACTCTTTATTTCTGTTTGCCTAAGAGAGTTGTGTAATGTGAACTGTTTTGGAAAAGGTACCAATGATGTTGACATGGGGACAGAGGATAACTGCTGTCAAATAGACAGTAACCCACTGGCTCTGAAGCCTCAAAGACATGGCTTGCTCAGAAGCTTTTCTCAGTGTTTTGGAGCACTGTTCTAAAAGTCTTTTTACTTTCTCCTGGTAGGAAGGAGACAGGCTCAGTGATGAAGATCTGTTCAAATTCTTAGCTGATTTCAAAAGATCGTCTTCCTTGCAGAGAAGAATTAAGACTTTACCAGGTACATTAATTCATTTTGGATGTAAAAGGGTATATATGCTTTTGTCCCCTAAATTGTTCTGTAAACTCCAACCCCAAAATATAATTAACTTGGGATTTAAGTCTATAGTATTTGCTGTTGTGGAACTTTCTGAGTTCCCAGTACCTACCTGAGCACAGATCTTTAGTGGTTGGGTTTTTTTTTTTGGGGTGGTTTTTGGTGGTGGGGTTTTTTTTGTTTGTTTGGTTGGGTTTTTTTAATGAGTGAGTATGGAGACCTATATTTAACTTGATATTCTAAAATTATTTGTTTTCCATCCTAATTTATAGTATATCTACTGGATATCTTTTGTTAAAATTCGTAGAATCATATCATAGAATCATAGA